AGCCTCCCAAAGTGCTGGGATTACAGCTATGAGCCACCACACCTGGCCCCCTGCTTTTTTTTTTTTTTTTGAGACAGAGTCTTGCACTGTTCCCCAGGCTGGAGTGCAGTGGTGCGATCTCGGCTCACTGCAACCTCCACCTCCTGAGTTCAAGTGATTCTCCTGCCTCAGCCTCCTGAGTAGCTGGGGTTACAGGTGCGCACCACCATGCCCAGCTAATTTTTGTATTTTTAGTAGAAACTGGGTTTCGCCATGTTAGTTAGGCTGGTCTCGAACTCCCGACCTCGTGATCCACCCTCCTCGGCCTCCCAAAGTGCTGGGATTACAGGCATGAGCCACCGTACCCGACCAAGTAACATACTTTTGAAGGAGTGCATTTTGAGGTAACTGCAGCTGTGGTGAGATTTCATGAAAAGTGTGGATGACTATTGGTGACTATGTCATGGGTCTCATTCCCACTACTGTGATTTGTTGGAGGAAGTGCTAAATTACAGTTAATTTTATGTTAGAAAAATAAAGATGTTATTTCCCCCAACTGGGTTCATGGACCTCCTAATTCTGTGCACTCCAAGCTGGAAACCCTTGACCTTGACTCTATTTTCCCCTAACCACCCACTCCCACCCACCTCTCCTAACCAGTCCCCAAGCCCCACTGACTTTACCTCCTGCAAGGTGGACTTGTCCCTGTCCTCACCCATTCTCCACTTGGGCCTTGTTGCTTTATATCAACATGACATATTATATCAATATGACTCCCGCTGCCTCCTGGCTGGCCTTGTTACCTCCGTTCTTGCTCCACCCTGAACCCAGAGAGATCATCCCTGATATGGTTTGGCTGTGTCCCCACCCAAATCTCATCTTGAACTGTAGTTCCCATAATTCCCACGTGTCATGGGAGGGACCCAGTGGGAGGTAATGGAATCATGGGGGCAGGTCTTTCTCATGCTGTTCTCCTGATAGTGAGTCTCACGAGAGCTGATGGTTTTATGAAGGGCAGTTCCCCTGCACACACTCTCTTGCCTGCCGCCATGTAAGACATGACTTTGCTCCTCATTTGCCTTCAACCATGATTATGAGGCCTCCCCAGCCATGTGGATCTGTGAGTCCATTAAACTTCTCTATAAATTACCCAGTCTCGGGTATGTCTTTATTAGCAGTGTGAAATGGACTAATACAATCCCCAAATGCAAACTTGACCATGTTGCCCCTTGCTCCACACTGTTCAGTGGCTCCTTATTGCCTATATGGTAAAATCCAAAGACCTCTATAAAGCACTGACACCTTCACAAACCTCTCCAGCTTCATCTCTCAACATTCCTCCTCTCCCTACTCCCAGTCTTCCCACCATTCTGAGCTATGTGAAGTTCCCGGAATATGCTGCATCATCAGGCCTTTGCTTACGCTGTCCACTCCACTTGGAATGCCCTCCTCAAGTTGTCCAACAAGCAGACTCTTACTTATTTTCCAAGTCTCACTCAAATGTTGCCTTCCCCATGCCAACCCCACTCATCCCCACTCCCTGGGCAAATGTGGGTGCCCCTCCCACAGGGCTGTTAACACACCCAGTCCATAGAAGTCAACATGCCATGCTAGAATCATCTGATGAATACGTCTCTCCACAAGATCGCAAACTTGGCCAACCGTGGTTGCTTATGCCTGTAATCCCAGTGCTTTGAGAGGCTGAAGCAGGAGGATTACTTGAGCCTGGGAGTTGGAGACTAGCCTGGGCAACATAGCAAGACCCTATCTCTACCAGAAAAAAAAAAATTTTTTTAATTAGCTGAGCGTGGTGGGGGTGATGGGAGTTGCCTATAATCTCAGTTACTCAGGAGGCTAAGATGGAAGTATCGCTTGAGCCCTGAAGGTTAAGGCTGCAGTGAGCCATGATTGCACCACTGCTCTCCAGCCTAGGCAACAAAGCAAGACCCTATTTCAAAAAAAAAAAAAAAAAAAAAGAGATTGAGAGAGAGAGAGAGAGAAAGGCTTTATGAGGGCAAGGACTAAGTCTTTTTCCTTAAACTCCCCCAAACAAGCACAGTGCCCAGTTAGGCCTTTAGTGAATGTTGGTTGAGTAAATAAATAAAAGATGGAGGGGAAAAAAGAATAAACAAGCTCTCCATCCTCGGACTGCTGGGGATGGGGTGCACGGGGATGGTGTGCTTGGAGGCCGAATCCCACGTTGTCTGTGTGTGGTGACAACTGTTCTATTTTTCCTCTTTTCTTTACTATGATGATTGGATTTCCCACATCCTGGGGATGACAGATTGGCACATTTTGATCTATGGCGTGTGCTCTGATTTCTTGAATGCAGTTCTATTCTTTGCAAGATCCCTCCGTCAAATGTACATACCTCAATTAGGAGAGATTACTTCCCTTACCAAGAGGCTCATCATTTCGGTATCATTAAATAGAGAGTTCTTCCAATGTGTGAAGAATAGGATTAAATTTATAGAAATTCAATTGACACTCAGCTTTTTAGGAACAAATGTCTCACACAGCCAAGCCACTGCTCTGTCTGCCAGGCCTCCTGACGTTCTAGTTTCTAGGCTTCCTTTATTCCCTTCCCGCGTAATCCCAGCTTAACCCCTGATGACCTGGATCCGCTGCAGCGACCCTGGGCACCTGCCCACCAAATCTAAGTGTTTGCTTGGAATCATCTGTCTCCATCTTCCTGAGTCCTATGAAGCAGTTGACGGTCCCATTCTTCCTGAAACCCTCAAAATCCCTGGCTCTGTGGCCTTTCCCCACAATCCCTGCTCAGCACACCCTTGCCCTTGAGTTTCTGGATGTGTTTGACCATTCGACTTCCAACGCAGCCTCTCCACATGGAGTTCTCAAAGCCAGATGAGCTCAGGAAGAGGAGTGATGTGCCGTCCACCCCAAAGCGGCTTCTCTTTTATGTCCCAGGGAAAGGCGGCACAGTCAACCTATTCTGTACAACCACCTCCCTCCCTGACACTGCAAATCCAATCCATCACAGACCAGGTGGCACTGATCTCCTGAAGACATCTCAAGTTCATCTGCCTCTCCCTCCCACACGTGTTATGCTCCTTGAGGTCTGGGACTGCCTACTTTTGTTCATTACTATAACCTTAGTACCTGGTCCGGCGCCTGGCACGTGCTAGATACTCAGTCAATATGCATTGGCCGTTTTTTACAAATGCTAAAACTCAGGCTCACAAAGAGAAGTGACTTGTCCAGTGCCTCCCGGTTGGTACAACCAGGGCTTACTCCAAGGGCAGCACCCTTTCTCGCCGCTGCTCTGAGAGGCCACGGGACCGGCCATGCCTTACCTGAGAGCACCGTGAAGACAGCCGCGAAGGCATTGAGCTTGAGCCCGTCGATGACATTGCTGGAGTGGAAGAGCTCGAGACACATGAGGCTGAAGCCAACCACCAGTAGCAGAATGTACAGCACCTCGGAGACCACAGACAGCCACAGGACCCCTGTCCAACAGAGGCAGAGAGGCCGTGAGACGAGGGGCAACCCAAGATGGCTCACCCTGTGCCTATTCCTCCCACACCAGCGGAGGGTAGCAAGTCATTTTAGAATAGACCCTGGTTCTGGGGGATGTCCTGATTAATGATGGAAGACTGTCTTGGCCATCCCATCCTGGTCTGCAGGGGCCGGCTTAGGGACCCAAGCTTAAGTCAGCATTCTCTGGATGCCCATTACTGGGGAAGAACTTTTATCCTGTGGCTGGACCAGGGGCTCCCTTTCTTTCTCATGGGTTAGATGATCACCACTGAGAGCCAGCTTGCGGCTATGAAGCCACCAGTTTAGGGTGAAGCTGACACTGTAGATGCAGATAAGAGTGATGGAATGATGGCTTCATCAGACCAACCACCAGCCCTGGGAGCTGCCCTGTTCTGGGCTTCATGAGATACACTGCTGTATTGTTAGGCCAGTTAGTGTGAGGTTCTGTGTTACTTCCAACTATACGTTTTGTTTTGTTCTTGTTTGTTTGTTTGTTTTTGTGGGGGTTTTTTTGAGAAAGAGTGTCACTCTGTCACCCAGGCTGAAGTGCAGTGGTGCGATCACGGTTCACTGCAGCCTCAAACTCCTGGGCTCAAGCCATCCTACCACCTCAGCCTCCCAAGTAGATGGAAATATGGGAGTGTGCCACCACACCCAGCTAATTTTTTAATTTTTTGTAGAGATGCGGTCTTGCCATATTTCCTAGGCTGTTCTCAAACTTCTGGGCTCAAGCTATTTGCCTGCCTAGCTTCCCTAAGTACTTTATTACGAGCCACCACACCTGGCCACCTGCAGCTCTAAGTATGCCACCTCACACACACAGCAGGCTTGCCCTCAAGGGACACCTACACTTTTATCTGCCCTGCATCCTACCCCACATTTTTTCTAGAACCCACTATTGCTACTCCCACGTGGTTCTCCCAGTTAGCCCTGTTCTGGTGGGGTCCTGCCCTCCTGGCATAGCTAATTGGTCCAGTATGATAATCTGACTTATAATTGACCAATCAAAGTCTTCTTCTAGGAATCTGCACTTAGATCCACTGAAGTAGACCAGGAAAGAGCAGTTTGGATGAGAGTCTGAGCATTCTGACCACGTGAGCACCTGGTTCCAGCTGTTCCTGAAGGCCACCTGCACTCCTGTTCTTCCAGTAGTTTGGTAGTTCAAACTTTCTTTGTATTCCCTGAGATAGCACAGCTCCCTTTTCCTACAAATTGGTCCAAATTGGATTACCATCATTCGCCATCTGGTTTAGGGGGCATCTGCTGTTTTTCCTACCCATGTTGTAATGATTCCTGCATGCTTTTTACCAGGAGAGCCTCTTTCTTCTCTGTCTACATAGTTCCTTTGCAGCTGACCCACATCTGGGCTCCATGCTGGGACACATGACTCAGATCTAGCCAGTCAGAGTACCGTGTCCCTCCAACTCCAGTCATTGGTTCAGGAGTGAACTTCTGTATGCCTCAGTTCCTTCCTCTGTAAAATGGGGGTAATGGACAGGCGTGGTGGCTCATGCCTATAATCCCAGCACTTTGGCAGGCTGAAGCAGATGGATCACTTGAAGTCAGGAGTTCAAGACTAACCTGGTCAACATGGTAAAGCCCCATCGCTACTAAAAATACAAAAATTAGCCAGGCGTGGTGGTATGCACCTGTAATACCAGCTGCTTGGGAGGCTGAGGCAGGAGAATCGCTTGAACCTGGGAGGCGGAGGTTGCAGTGAGCCAAGATAGCACCACTGCACTCCAGCCAAGGTGACAGAGCGAGACTCTGTCTCGAAAAATAAAAAAATAAAATGGGGGTAATAACACCTGTCTTGCAGCGTTGTGGTGATATGAGCATTCAGTTGCACAGCAATGTAAGGAGCTTATGATTAGCACATAGTAAGAGCTCAAGTCAGTTGTACTATTACAGTTTTTTTTAGAAGAACATAATGGGGATATATCCAATGGGGAATGGAAATACAGCCCAGGGGCTCTTGTCGAGGTCAAGGCTAGAGATAGAGTCAACAGGGAGAAATGAAATTGTGAGGGCACATATGATTTCTGAAAGAAAAAGTAGCGAATAGAAGATGGAACTAGGAACATCCCCATGGCTTGCCTTCCAGGTCACACTAGTCATGTGGTCCCCCAAGACCCACACTTTGGAGAAAGAACTACAGACCAGGCATGGGCAGTCAGACATGGACCCATGACCCAGGTCTACTGAATGAGACTCAGCCTCAGGACTTTTGCAGGAACTACTGGGAAAGAGAAATTCGCCCTTCCTTCTTTCCTTCCTTCCTTCCTTCCTTCCTTCCTTCCTTCCTTCCTTCCTTCCT